CAGCGCTGTTGAAAAGGCTGTGGAAGTCCCTGTATTAAACACGTAGACCTGTGACACAAAAATCACCAAACTCGGACGACCACAGACTGTTTTCCTTTGTGGTGATGAAGGAAAACGCTGGGTTGGCATGTAAAAGGGCATTTATTCCCTTCAAGGACCTGCAGTTCAAAAAAAGCGCCCCTCGACAGCCAAACCCATCTGTTCTCTGATTGGATTGTTACATTTGTGATTGACATGACATGGACCAATCAGATGAAAGGAAGAAAAATAGGGTCAAAATTCGTAGTTGTAACTTGCAGGGTTTTTTTGGCTAAGTCCACACACAAATCTTTTTTACAAGTACAAAATATTTATGACCACATTTTGAGCCCATACAGTTGCCACTTGTTTCAAAGTTTTCATGGTTACCGTGGTGATAGGTCTCCTCTTAAGAGTCTAATGGCGTTTTCACACCTGCGCTGTTTAGTGCGTTTAAATCGAAGTCTGGCCTGTTTCCCCCCCCGGCACGGCTCACGTGTGCAGATATGAACAAATCGCACTGTGTGGACCTGAGCAGCAGGTGGAGGACGTACAGTTCCAATCAAAGTCCGGAGTGGTTCGTTAATGGTGCGGACTGACCCCCAAACCAACCAACTACCAGGTGTACGTTACAAGTTTGAGCTGAAAAATGTCCCGCAGCCACAAATGCTTTGTGGTTATGAGAGAAGGTACTACAGATGTGCAAAGGTCTGTACGGGCTAGCAGCTAGCCGCGAAATGAGCCTAACAATTCCCAGTTTTCCCACACAGCAAATTCTTCCTGGATTTACTTTTGCTGTGGAGTTCACTTGGATTTTTCTCTGTATGAAAAGAAACCAAACCACAGGAAAAAGCTCCGAGTTTCACCTGGTTCAGACCACAGTAAACAAAGTATATTTGTTAAACCGCAGTGCTGCAGACACAAAACACTCTTTCTAGTAAGACTCAGTTTCAGTGTCATTGTGACAAATGGATCGACTGCTCGTTACTGTCCTGTGCTCCGCCATGAGGGTGGGCTGTACTTTCAGTACCTGAATGTCAGAGGGCGAATCTCAGCTTTGGTTTTGTGTGAATTATTGTTGCTGCTGCTGATAGCTGGAGCTGAACTACGTCTGCTTTAGTTTTCAGTCTTCAGTCTCCAAAGTCTGAAGGCAGCTGTGTCAGGTGAGGAGCGAGACGAGCAGCACGAAGGAGCAGCTCCCTCAGAGTGAGCTTTTTTAGCTCAGTGCAGGAGAAGATGGCCTGGGCGATCGGCTGAACTGGAATCAGTTTGACTTTCAGAGGCTCCTTCTTAGTGTTTTTTAAATATGTTTGTGTGTGTATATCTATATATATGGAGATATATATGTAGTTAATGTACTTTAATAGTTTATTTTTGATGGCACTTTGGGGCTTTGCAGCGCCACGAGTTCCAGAACGTACTTGTATCTGTGACTTTTGTGTCCACAGACTCTTTCATCGTGTACGTATTCAGTCATTCAGAGCATTCTGATATCAACGTGTTGTGTTGTGGATGATGAGTCGAGGCCCTCGATCCTTGTTTGCATAAAGTCGAGCCCTGAGCTACTTTATGCAAATCAGGGGCTGCTGTGACACGACTCCTCTGGAAACTCCTGAAAATCTTTAGAATCTTTGTTGAGCCAGACTCGTGGTTTATTTCTCTCCTCATATGTGCAGAAAACGTGAGCAGGTGACCTCAGACGGGTGTTTGTCCAGCCAGGTGCAGCTCAGTCATGACTGTGGAAGGAGAGAAGTGATCTCTCCTCACTGCTCCGTTAGCCCACACTACTAAACATTTACAGTCATTTTTAAAACTCTGCTATGACCTGAACGCAGCTTCGGCACATAGATCAGTTCAGACAAATATAATGTTTCTGTTTGCACACTAACATTTGGGATACGCCCAACAACTTTACACTTAGCGTTAGTGCTGAGATTACTGACGTTTCAGGTATTTAAGCTTAAACTAAAAGATCTGTGAAGCTACCGGCTGTCATTGTTCCATGCTCGGCGTGTACCTGCACGCAGGGCTCTCGTACACTGTCAGGCTGCTGCTTGGACTGGTTTGCACGTCACACATGGAAGCTCTTTAAGAACTAATAATAGGTCAGTCATGTATAGTATTATATAAGATATAGTGGCTGCACATGCGTCGACATGCTGTAGATGCACTCGGCACAGTCCCAACACGTGGCAGGTGTTTTTCTTGCAAAACATGCAGAAAAAAATGTTGCACAGCTGATGTACGCTGAGATGGTTCGTGGCGAGCTGACATCAAACACACACAGCTGAGCGTCCGTCAGTCTGTCTGCGTCTGTCTGTGTGTTCAGTGATGGAGAGATCAGCTGTGAGTGGAACAGCTGATTCCTGCACTTCCTCTCTGTGAGGATAACCCCCACAGCTCGATTTCTTGGTGGATGGTGAAAAAAAGGGATTTAGTTTAGCGCACATTTGATTTAGTTTCATGACCGCACGACACTGAAACACGTTTATGTGAATGTTGTGTGTTCGTTACACGTACGTTCTTTACAGCAGTGAGGACCAGTGAGGGCCCAGTGTTCCCAGTGGGTGCGGTTCGATGGAAAGAATCGCCTAACTAATCTGACAGAAAAGAAATGACAACTTAATTAAAGAATCAAGTGGACGTGAACGTGAAGAAGAAAGTTAATTAAAAAAGTAACAGTGAGAAACAGTCGGCCAGAATAGATTAAAATAGAAACGTGATGGTCGAAATGTGAATAAAGGCCGGATGAAAGGATGTAGGTCATCGTTAGCACTGTGCTACATGCACTCTTTCACTTTCAGCTCCAGCATGACGCAGGAAGAGCTGTGAGGGCAGGATCCTGACCCGGATACAGACACGAGTCACATGTGGGAAAGACTCTCTCTCCCTCTCTCTCTCTCTCCCTCTCTCTCCCCTCTCTCTCTCTCTCTCTCTCTCTTAGTCGGGTATTCATATCTTGTGGGGACATTTCATTGGCTGAGTGACCCTAACCATAACCCAACTGTAACCCTGACACTAAAACCACATTTTGAGTCTCAAAAATACCTTCAACTTTCAATTTTGGGTCCCCACAAAGATATGAATACACGCTGTCTCTCTCTCTCTCTCTCTCTCACACACTCACACACACACACACACACACACACACACACACACACACACACACACACACACACACACACACACACACACACACACACACACACACACAGTCCAGACTCTTACCTGCATATTTTTGTAAGTTGATTTAAAGTGTAGGTAATCAGATGGGATTCAGAAGAAAAGAACAACATTATTTACACAAATTAAAGAATTCAATTCAAATGTAAAAATATTTGAGTGTTTTAATTAAAGGGCACCTTTTCAGTATCCTGTTCTAATGGTGGATAATGAGGTCAGTGTATGTACAGACTGATGAACATTTAGTTTCACATCCCTGATTCTCCAGGTTGTCATTTATTCCTGCTGCTAACAGTTGATAACACGTGATTCAAGAAGAGGGAGGAACAAAGGCTGACAAAAACAAGGTGCAGACAGGTGAGCTTATGCAGAAGGTGCAATCTAAAGAGTTAATGGGAGGCTGGGCGTACAGCAAAGAGAGTGGCACGGGAAAAGGCTTTTAGTGACATGTAAAGAACAGAGGAAATGATTTGTACTGATTGGCAGAGAAATCGCGCTGGAAAGGATGTGCAGCAGAGTGGAGATGGAGACGGGCGAAGAGAAAGATGGACGGATGGGGAACAGTTAGTGAATCAGGAAGTGCAGAGGATTAGTGAGGAGGAAGTGAGGTCAGCTATGAAGAGGATGAAGAACAGAATAGGAGTTGGTCCAGATGAAGAACAGAGCTGTAACTACAGAGCTGCAGCATGAAGATATGGGAAAGAACTGTTGAAGCTGGGTCAAGAAAAGAGTTTGAGGTGGAAGCGATGGAGATGTGAAGATTTTCATGTCGTCGATCTTTATATTGACCTAAGCTAAGAGCACAGAGGAAGTTTTCTAATTCTGAAGAACATTAAAAATTTACTCTGGTTTCAGGGCGTTGATTCCTCTTCCCCCACAAACCCAGCACCGGGCTCTGATTCTAATCGTCTCTGTTTATCTATACTCCCCCAACTCACACTCCAATTTCCTCCTGACACCTGCCCTCGCCATCCACCCCCGTACGGTTATTACTGCACCTTCTCTATATCTTCAACTTCTCTTCTTATTTCTCCTCAAATATTTGCACCGCCTTGTCTCTCTCTTCTCCTTTTGATCCTGTCCCTCACTTTCCTGTCCTCCTCTTCCACCTCCTGCCCTTCCTCTTCTACCTTTAATAAATCTCTACCCACACTCTCTCCTCTCCATTTCCTGGGCTTGAATCTCACCTTCCTCCCACCTCTTCCTCATCAAATCATCTAAATCTCCCTCTTCTCCTTCACCCCTTTTCATTTCCTCCTCTGCTCCTCCTCCTACCCACCCTTTCCTAGAAATCTTCAATTTACTGTACGCTGGTCTTCTCATGTGCTTGCCTCCCCTCCTCCTCCCCTCGCTCCTCCCCCTGTCCTCCCTCTTCCAGCCTTCTTGTAATCCCTCTCTTCTCCTGCATCACAGGTGAATCTCCCGTAGGGAACGAGGAGCAGTGGCGAAAATGGTTCTCCTCCTCTTCTCTGTCTTGGCCCACATGTCCCTTCCCCCCACTAATGTGTTTTCTCTCTCCTCTGTTTTGCCCCACCCTCTTTCCATTAACCTCCATCTCCCTCTCCTCCCCCATCACGACTCACCTCCTCTCTGCTGCCCAATTGCCTCCCCTCATTCCCAATGTTTTTCCTAAATTCTCCTCCCTCCCATCATCCTCTCATTCCCTTTCTCCCATTCCTTACCTCCCCTTTCCCCTTCTTTTTGGCCCCTCCTCACACCCACCCCCAAAAATACATTTTCCCACAATCCCTCCCTCCCTCCCCCCTCCCTTCCCCCTCCACCTCTGTCTGGACCTACAGAGCAGCGCAAGGATCAACATCTCAGAGGGTTCCTGTCCAGAGAGGATCATCACCATCACAGGGCCGACAGACTGTGTGTTCAGGGCCTTCACCATGATCACGTTCAAACTGGAGGAGGTAGATACTGGACACACACACACACACACACACACACACACACACACACACACACACACACACACAGCCTGACTGAAGTGTGTAACCTTTACTTCCTCTACACTGGGGCTGCTCCCTGGCAGGGAGCCATTTATTATACGATATGTCTAATGGGATTGTCTGACCTCACAGACACTGGTACAAGCCCATATGCACACACACACACACACACACACACACACACACACACACACACACACACACACACACACACACACACACACACACAGTAGTTAGTTACATGTTTTCTGACATGGTTACCGGGTTTGCTCCATTTGTCTTTGACAAACTTTAAGTTCTTATCTTGTCATTTAAACTTTGCTGCTAATCGTCACCAAATGAAACATTCACATTTATTGATGTACTGTTGGTTCTAAGTTAGGCAGACGTTGCCATGGCAGCATCCTCCTGTCTCTGTGCACCAAACATAAAAAAACAAGAGGCTTATTTAGGTCAGTCTTTCCTGTGAGTTTCTTGTGCTTTTAAAGTGTAAAAAGAGTTTAAAGCCTTCAGCTATGATGTCATCTCAAAGGCATCGTTATATTGTGTTAAAGCAATATCAGCTGAAAGGACAGAGCTGCTGCTGTGAAACCGGACTGTGCAGCATCGGGCGTATCAGCTGTGATGCCACCCACTCATTTTCCCGCCTTGATATGTTTTGGGGGTTAGAAGACCGTATTTGGATGGAAAGGCGGCGTGCTAACATGCTAACATTTGCTGGCTTGTTAGCAAGGTGACTCCATAGCACACGTGACACACCTGGCACCTTTCAAAGTTATCATAAAGGAGTAACTATCCATGGAGGATTATTTGTTGTTCCAGGCTTTAAAGTCGGATATTTTAACAGAAGAGTCCATGAAGGTCATTCATTCCACCCCGCCTTCATTTCCCCGCCCCGAGGGAGGCCAATCCTACATGAGTCTATTTGATTTTACAAAAAGAGCTTTTAAAGCTCATTTATGAATGTCCGGGTATTAACATAATATGTAATTTCTGCCACTGCTGGGTTCAGTCAATCAGTCCAGCAGCAAAAGACGTAGTTTGATGTTGGTGTGAAGTACTGTGCTGTGAGTCGTCTGTAGCACCACTGCTAATAGGTTACACAGAAAAGAAAGGTAAGGTAACCTTGTGTTGAAATTCTCTGTTTTATTTAACTGTAACATGACCTGTTAGCTGTGTTACAGCAGCCGAGGGAGGTGACGGCAGCGACACATTAAACAGAATAAAAGATGTTTCTGTGGGTGAAGTCAGGAAACATAAAACATATATTACATTTTTAAACATCTGTGTATTTACCTTCTTTAGTTGAGGCCTGCAAAATGTAATCCACAAATATTTTGGCCTTTAAATGAGATGATGATGATTATCAACGAGGAAGAACTGGCGCAGACACGTATGTTATTTGATCGTGCTGTTTTTGGGTCTTTATCACTGCATATAGTCAGATGGCAGAAACAGCTGTTCATACACATCAAAAAAATGAAGAATAAAAACGTTCCGTTTTATTCAGACAGCGTCAAATCGCAGCAACAGCTGATTGAAGGTGCTTCGTATTGTGAGGTAGAGGCCCTGCAGACGAGGAAGATATCTGCCAGATGCCTCTCTGTCTGACAGCTGTATTGCATTATAGAGGGTGATAGCATTATCCATGATGGATAACAGTGATGTCCAATCACAGAGCCAGGCTTCCCGGTCAGTTTGTTAAACCCCACAGGATGCAGGTGAAGTGGTGATGGGTCTCAAACTATTACTCTGCAGCATAAAATGTATTTTCTGTTGTTTGTCAGTCTGATTTCTGTGGGTTTGAACATTATTAAGGACATAATTTATGACTAAGGCAGCACGGTGGCACGGTGGTTAGCACTGTTGCCGCACAGCAAGAAGGTCCTGAGTTCAATTCCACCATCAGGCCGGGGTCTTTCTGTGTGGAGTTTGCATGTTCTCCCCGTGTTTGCGTGGGTTCTCTCCGGGTACTCCGGCTTCCTCCCACCATCCAAAGACATGCAGCTTGTGGGGATAGGTTAATTGATTAATCCAAATTGCCGCTAGGTGTGAATGTGCGAATGAATGTGAGTGCGAATGGTTGTCTGTCCCTGTGTGTTGGCCCTGCGACAGACTGGCGACCTGTCCAGGGTGTACCCCGCCTTTCGCCCTATGACAGCTGGGATAGGCTCCAGCGCCCCCCGCGACCCTGAAAAGGATAAGCGGAAGCGAATGAATGGATGGATGGATGGATAATTTATGACTAATCATTGGTCAAACAACCTGAAGGCAAAAAAAACAACTAATTGTAAAAGGCATTAAAAACAGGGTTTGGCTGATTTTAAGAACAATCATCTTTAATCAGCCACAAGATCAAATCTTTTCTTAAATCAGAGTTTAAAGTAGTGGAAACAGGAACACTCCAGGCTAAATGTCGTGCTGTGTTCAGATTTTGTTTAAGCCAAGCGGCCGAATCAGTGAAGTGTCTGTAATTACTCTGCATTTTCAAAGGTGTGGATGACATCAGGAGAAAAGCAAAACGTCTTGTTGATGTAGATGTGGAGCGAACTCTGACAAACAAGCCGCGCCCGGCTGTCGGGTTATTGGTTACAAGCTCTCGCTGTGCAATCAAACACAGAACAAGTGGAGACCAAAGCACTGAATTCAGGGGAAAATATTTCAGCCACAAATGTAGAAATGTTTCCCATTAAACACACGCATACAGTGTAAGACGAAGGAAATGAGTTTGGCTGCACGCGTGCCGGTTCACGGCAGAGTGGTTTTGGCTGCAGAGAAATGAAATGTCTGACAGACATGACGCAAGCTGAGAAATTAAATCCAGGCAGATGGTATTTAAATCTTAGCAATCCTAATGGAAGATAACAAGATGGGATGGGGGGGAGGATCGGGGCAGAGAGTGGACGGTGATTTAGAGAGTGGTGGACGGGTCGCTGAAGGGATTTTAAAAAGCTGTGAAATGAGGAAGGAGTGAGAGAGAGAGGGCAGAGAGGGTTTAAAAAAGAATTGGAAGAGATAAAGAGATGAGGGAGGAGGGGGTCCTATGAAGAATTAATGAAGCTGGAAAGCAGAGAATATAAGAAAGAGGCATGAAAAGTGTCACCGAGGGATTAAATAAAGGCTGTAATCGGGGAGATCATGCACAGCCTTAGTCTTAGGACCTGCACAGGTTCAGGTGTGTGTCTGGGACGGTTGTTACCTAACACGGCATCCCGCTGCCTCCAGCATCATTCTGAGGGGATGAGTGTTTCCCATGGCGTGCAGCATCTCTGCCGTAGGGACAATATGATGCTGGAGGGGTGGGCTTCAAACTGAGACCAAAAACCAGGCTTCATCACCCAGGCCTGAGCAGGCAGGAAGTGGTTAGGCCTGACCTCAGGATAGAGGATGTCTTAGTTATTTCTGGATCTTTGGGAAGAGTTCCTTCAATTCAAAAATATGTTTTCACACAGCAGGAAGATGAGCCTGGTATCAAACGGTAGGTGTAATGAGACCATATGCTATCATTTGTTCTGAGCAGCTGCCTCAGTGATCCGACTCTTGAAAGTTTACCCAAAATGCACTTAAGGTTTGTTTTTTCCAGAAAGCAGATCAAAGCTGCAGAGTGCCAGTGCTTTGTTCCTGTTCCCTTACAACATTATATGATATATCCCATGATACTAATGCGCTGAGATGTTTATAGACAAAAAACTGACAGAAAAATGTTGATTTCTTGCCCATGTGTACACACAAACAGCATTTGGTTCAGTGGGCTCGTTGTGTAACCGTTTCATACTGAAAGATGGTCTGTATTTCACAGCCGTGCAGCCTGATATCACAAGATTGCGTTGAACCACCTCAGGCAGATGTCTGTGCACCTCTGCTAACACAGAACAGAGAGAAATTAAAGGAATGTGAACGTAAAAGAAAATTAGAATGGCTGATGGACGTGTGTGTAGTTAAACTGGGATATTAAATGTGAGATGCCATTGCTAAAAAATGCTGAAAAGAGAAATGAACGTTATAGACGTGCGGATAAATTAACACAGCATTAGAAAGAAGAGCAGAGAGGATTTTAAAAAGTAAAAAACAAATAGAAAATTAAAACCAATGAGGAGGAGAGTCCATAGAGCAGGGAACGGGGTGGGGCAGAGCTGAGAGATGGTACTGAGAAAGGGGCTGGAGCAGGAAACGCTGCCCAGGAATGGAGATGGAACTGGAAAACAAGGTGATGAAGGCAAGATGCCTCTGGTGACCAGATGGGATAGTGGAGGAGGTAGAGGACCAGTGGCCAAGGAGGCAGAGCCTACCTGGTAGCCTAAGAGGGGGAAAGGCAACAGTGGAGACGGAGGCCTCGCAGGCGGTCACCGATAGTGAAGGACATGGGACCCCTCGGGAAGCTTAGTCGATGGCAGATGGTCCAGATGGGGCCCATCCCAAGCAATATGTTTAGGCTGCACGGGGCTCCTGGGCTTGGATTTGGCGGTGCTAGTTCACAAAGAACAGGATCTGGTGGCTCAGGGTTGTGAAGTGCAGGGAAGCTGACCTGTAATTAGCTCAGGTTCAGGGAGAAGCACCTCTAAAGGAGCAGGCGGTATCCCCCAAGTCCCTGGTGAGGCCCCTGGTGGCCTGAGTCATCCCTGGGTGGAGAGACAGGCTGGGTCTCTGCGACCTTCATCCTAAAGACAGGAATGAAGGTGTCAGCCAAGGAGAACTGATGTGCAGCTGGCTAGGGTGGCGAACATTGATGTCTCCATCAAACGTGACTGCAGAGGCGGTGATTAACAGCATCTACAGGGACCGTGCTTCCTCTTAGGAGTGGGTGATGATTTGGAGGATATAGTATGCATTGCAGCAGTCGAATGGCTCCAAACTTACCTGAGGATGTGGTGCCCAGGAGCCATGGGACCCCAGGACCACAACGTGCCACATATGGGCAGGCGAGTTTGCCTGAAGATGGGCTCACGCTCAGGGGTGAGCCA